GCAGCATATAGATTTGGGAGTTGACCACAAGGAGATGATGATTGAATCCATGGGAAATGGTCTTGTGGTGCATTGGGGAAAATATGCTAGGTGTAGAGTCAGGGGATCTGAGTTTGAATCCTGGTTCTGACTTTGTCTTTCTTTGTGACAAATTACATTGCTTTTGTGATTCTCACTTTTGTCATCTGTAAAATGAGGAATTTGGGTGAGTTGACATTTAGTGTCTCTCCCAGATCCAAATCTGTGATCCTAAATTGGGGGGGGGAGGGAGAGAGAGAGAGAGAGAGAGAGAGAGAGAGAGAGAGAGAGAGAGAGAAGAAAAAGGAGGAGAAAGAGAGAGAAGAGAGTGTTGAGAAGCGGAAAAGCAGAGGGCCCAGGATCAAGCCTTGGGGCACACCCACACATGAGTGGGCAGGACATAGATGATGACCCAGCAGAGGACACTGAGGAATGACTGGATGAGTGGCAGGCAAGAAGAAAGTGTCCCAGAGGAGGGCTTGGTCAAGGGTGTCAGATGGTGCAGGGAGAAGAGCCCCGTGGATTTGATAATGAAGACATCACTGGTAACCTCAGACTGAATAGTTTCCATCTGATGAGGTCAGACCCTAAAGAGAGGAGGGGAAGTGAGAGAAGCAAATGTGGACAGATTTTTTTTCCTCAGGTTTGGTTGTGAGAGGGAGCAGGGCAGTCTGAGGGGAGGAGAGGCTGTGGCAAAGGGCCAGGCCGGGCCGGGCTGGCTTGGTCGGTTAGTTGTTCGTTTTTAAAGTAGGGCAGTGACTTGGGTGGTTTGTAGGCAGCAGTGAGGCCTAATAGGAAACAGTGGAACATTGGAAGGAGTACTTAGGCCAGCTGGGGTTCTTCCCAGCTTGGTCATTGAATAGATTGACTGACTGTCCTTACTGACTTGGGACAGGACATCTTTTTGCACCTCAGTTTGCTTCTTTGTAAAAAATGGTCTCTAATGTCCTCTCTAGCTGTAACATTCTATTTAATCTCTCGAGACCTCAGTTTCCTCATCTGTAAAGTGCAGAAAATAAAACCATTTCTTTCTCTCTCTCAAGGTTTTTATGAAAGAGAATGAATATAAGGTAATCCAGTACTTTAAAGAACGTTTTGTGCTGACCCCGATGCTGAATGTAGCCTCAAATATTGTAGCAGATTGGTTTTGCCCAGTGCTATTGGGGAATGATTGTTATGGAAGCAGCGAAGGCGTGGGGTGGAGAGAGCTCTGGGCCTGGAGTCAGGCCTCAGATACTTCCTAGCTGCATGACCTCGAGCAAGTCCCTCTTTGTTTGCGTCAGATTCCTCATCTGTGAAATGGGGATATTGACAACACCTCCCTCCCAGGGTTGTGCTGAGGATCAAGCGTGGTAACAATTGGAAAGTGCTTAGTACAGTGCCTGGCACATAGGAGGTGCTACGTAAATGTTAGTTATTAATATAATATGATATTATAATAGTAACATTTTTAATCCAGGAACCAGGTAAAATGCTAGTGGGTAATATTTAACAAAATAAATAAAAATACAATAAATATAATATTCAAATGTGGTTCATATGTGGTTTCCTAAGTCAATGTGTCAGCCAGAGGGATCCTTTATGTAGGGTTCAGTGGCATAATTTCTGTCTGAGTTTGACACTGCTACTCTTAAGAAACTGTCTCATAACCATGAGTTGCAAAGAAGGGGCCACCTTGAATGACAACGGGGGTGGAGAGCTCTTCCCAGTTCTCCTTCAGGAGTGGGCCCAGTGCCAATGCCTCCTCATTTCCCAGCAGGCTTCAGGATGTCACCAAGCCCCGGCCTACTCACTCTCTTTCCTATTACTTCCAGACTCTCTACCATTGCTCAGTAAGCTCTCCTCATTCTAGGTTCATTCAAACAAAATTGATCACCCAGTCGAGTCTGGTAGCTGTTCTTTCCCAACTTCTAGGACACCTTCTGGCCTCCCTCCCTCCCTCCTTCCCTTCCTTCTTTATTTATTTCCTTCCTTCCTTCCTTCCTTCCTTCCTTCCTTCCTTCCTTCCTTCC